GGGAGTGCGGACGGACCTTTCCATGCCTCCATCTGAGTCTTTTTCACGCCAGGTGAGAGGTCTTCTGCCCTCCATGGTTAATAGAGTTGATAGGTCTACGTCGACTCCAATCTCTGTCCCCACTATTCTTTCCAGTGACTGCCTGGGTCAACCTCCTCGGGCACCAGCCTCTGGTATCCATGTGAGTCCTTCTTTGGCCCCTAAAAGTAGGACAATCAATCGATCACGTCCTCAGTCATTGGATTCTCACACTGATGACAGAGATCTGCCCACTCAATCAAGGGCAGAATCCATGGAGGTCTATTGACCTCCTTCTAGTAAAGAAAAACGGCGTGGTCGTAAACCGAAGGGTTCCCCACCCTGTTTTCCTAAACATACATAACAATGGTCACTTTGATACAGTGGAACTGTCAAGGTTTTCATTCTAATCTCGATGACATTAAGGCTTTGATTGACTCTTATCATCCCGTGTGTCTATCCTTGCAGGAAACATTCCTGAAACCTTCCAATACAGTCACCTTTCTGCAGTTTTCTCTGTACCGGAATGACAGGTTGTGTGATGGGCGGGTGCATGGATGGATGGCACTGCTGGTCCTTATCTGTGTCCCTTGATACACCCTTGGAGGCCATACCCATCCGTGTTTCCTTGGTTTGTACCATCACTGTTTGTTTTCTCTACCTGTCTCCTGGGGAGACTTATGATAAATCAGACCTTGATGCTCTCGTTGACCAGCTGCCATCTCCCTTTTTACTTCTAGAAGACTTTAATGGACACAACCCCCTGTGGGGTGGTGCTAATATTGATGGGAGGGGTTGTTCCATTGAGAGTATGCTCTCTGATCACAACCTTTCTCTCTTCAATACTTGTACATATAGTTATTTTCATGCACCTAGTCAGTCTTTTACTGCCATTGATCTCTTGATTTGCTCCCCTTCACTTTTCACTCGCTTTTCTTGGATGGTCGACTGTGACCCACGGGGCAGTGATCATTTTCCTATCATTATGAGGGAGGTTGGCCATGATCGATGCCACCCGACCCAAGTGCCATGGTGTAAGCTGGACCAGGCTAACTGGCCATCTTTCACCTCTCTCTCTGAACTTGATCCTGCCTTCGTCTGTCTGCCATCAATAAACGACTGTGTGGTTGCAGTAACTGACTGTATTGTCCAGGCGGCAGCTCGTTTTATTCCTAAGACCTCGACACATTTTCCACGGTATCCTTGTCCATGGTGGAGTCTGCCTGCCAGAGGGTACGGAAGGCTCAAAAACGGGCCTGGAATACCTTCCGAGGATATCCCTCTCTTTCTAACTGCATTGTTTATCAGTGGGCCCATGCTCGGCAGGTTCGATGTCAGTGCCAAAAGGAATCTTGGATTAAATTCACTACTAGCATCTCTTCTACCACCAGTTCCAAAACTGTATGGGACAAGATTCGGAAAGTTTCTGGGAGGTATGCTTCCCATCCCC